AGAGAGACAGACAGACAGAGAGATAGATAGATAGATAGACAGACAGACGATAGACAGATAGACAGACAGACAGACAGACAGACGATAGATAGATAGATAGATAGATAGATAGACAGAGACAGACAGACAGACAGACAGACGTTAGACGATGGATGGATGGACGGACGGACGGGCGATAGATAGATAGATAGACAGACAGACAGACAGACAGACAGAAGATAGATCGATAGATAGATAGATAGATAGACAGACAGTGAGACAGACAGACGATGGATGGATGGATGGACGGACAGACAGATAGATAGTTTTATCCTCCTGTTGTATCTGCAGTGTCAGTGTTTGTGTTGCGTGTTAGTGAGTCTTTCAGTGCATACAGTGAGATTTCACAGCTGCTGCTGCTGATGATGATGATGCAGTTGTCATGGCGTCTATTCTTCTCCACTGTCACTGCTCATTCTTTCTCTCGTTGTGTGTGTGCGAGTATGTGTGTCCTACTTTTGTGCTCGCGTCGTCACAACAGTCCTTTGCTGTGGCAACCGCCTTTACTAAGCATGACACATGCGCACTCTGTCGCACGCTCCGTCTCACGCACCTGCCGGTGCACGCGCTCACCTAGCAGCCGCTGGTGCATTTTTTTGGACTTGCATGACAGTAGATATCTAACTTATTTCAAAGCGCTCACATTCGACTGTATAACTGTACCTTTATAACTAGGGAATCAATAGTCGATGAAAGCTGATTTCCACAAGAGCACTGATGTTGTGGTCATCAGTGTAAATGTGCAGACGTGAAGTCAGAGCTGGAGCTGCTTTCACAGACTCACTCTACAGAGATCGCGAACACATGACATTCAATGTGCCGTGGCCCGCACTGCTCCTACCGGAATTACCGACTGGCTGCTGCTATTGGACAAAAGTAGGTCAGTTCCAGCCTAGGGCTGAACGCTGCACAGATGATCCTAAATTCAGCGCATTGCGCAGCAGCTTCGCTGGGATTGGATGTTCCGTTCCGCGCACGCAACTCTCCACCAATCACATGCATGCGTGTTCTCTTTCTGGTGACTGCTGGTTACTAACACTGGCTGTTACTGTGTAGTCAGGGAGCATTGGCCATTCCAAGAAGATGGTTTTGTGTTTAGGGAGGTCAGAATGCGGGAGGGCTTAGTATAAAACAATGCATTCAGTTCAACTTTATTCCTGATTTTTATTTTCTTCTTCTGTCTGTCTCTCTGCCTATGTAGGCAGCATTGTAAGGCAACAGAAAGCTTCTGCCTATGTAGAGAGTTCCAGATCACTAGGTTTGGAACAGTTTTGTTTTTGTTAACTAAAACTAAAAGCATGGTTGTTGATTGAAATAAAACTAGATAAATATTATTATATTAAATATTAATATTACTAAATGCAATATTAATATAAAAAAATAGAAATGTCGCCATGATAAACTGAAATAAGTTTCCGTCAAAGCACTAAAATTACTAAATGGAAATAAATAAAATCTAAAATGAACTAAAACAAAATATATAAATAAAAAATAATTGGACCTAATTAGTAATAATAATAAAGTCCATAACAAAATTGCTAAACATTAAAAATGAAAATATATAAATAAAGGCTAATTAAAATATTACTATAAGTATAAACTATAATTGCATAAAAATAATACTAAAATAACAATGTTATAATGTTTAGTGTTTCAATATTCAATATTAATTGAATCCATTTCGAGGTAGTAATTATGCATCAAGAATAAATAGAATAGTTAATGATATTAAATCATTCTATTATTTTCATGTGTACTTCCTCTCACATTTTTTACTGATATTAAAAACAGCCCGGGGTAAATACATTGCAGTGGTTACAATGCAATAATCTGAATGAAATCGAGAACGTGCAACAATGTATCAAGCCATGATTGAAGAACACGCCCCCGCGCTCTCATTGGTCGGGGCTCTATTCAACAATTTGGCCTGTCCATTGACGTCACGGACGTCAGTCTTCGCACATGGAACTGCGAATCAATTGCGCTTTTGCGCTCCAGCCAGCCGAGATCACGGACGCGCGAGAACAGAACAGCCGCTGCTCTTCAGTGCTGCGCACGGGCTGAGGACTGTATTCCGACAACTCACTGCAGAGCTTTTATTTTAATAAGTTGGCTTTTTAAATTTCGTTTCTTCAGGTAGACTGATCTCTCCTTTACGCGATGGAGAAGATGTCTCGACCTCTTTCTATAAACCCAACTTTCCTACCTCCGACCCACGGCGTCCTGAAATCCCTGCTGGAGAACCCCATGAAGCTGCCCTTCCACCACGATGAAGGTAAAGGTGGGTGGATGTTGCTTTGGAAAGTTTAAATGGTCTTCTGCGTCAGCTGTTGGGTGTCAGGCGCGGTGCGCGCTTTGCTTTCATTATAATCTGCGCGTAAACGCGCGTCACATCACGGTGTTTTTCAGTACCTGCTCATGCCTGCATGCTGTCATGTATAATTGATTTGAATTCTGATGTGATTTTAGATGGAAAATTATGTTTATTATCATATTTATGTTGATATTTGCATTGCATTGCAGTGCAATGCATTCATTTTACGCGCAAACATAAATCCATTTCGCACTGGATTTAGCCGGAATGCATGATGTTACCTGCTTAAAATACGCTTGTTTTGCTGTTTATTAAGCATTTGCTCACAAAGAGAAAGAATAAGCAAAGTCTACTCAACCGATACTGACTTTATTTGGATAGATGAAGTTCGCACGCAATGGAGATAATTTGTACTTATAGTTCCCTATAGAGGGCGCCACTGAGAGGCTCTGATTGTTTTTGTGCTACAGTACCTCAATTCTCATCACACGTTTATAGTATAAATAAAAAGCTGTTTTATCTTTGGATGCACATAAGCAGGTCGTGCATTGGCAAGCTATAACATATGCATGCTGTTTTTTTCAGTGTGCAAAATAAATATGTTTATTTGGTTGCATTTTTGGATCGGTTCACCCGGTTTCTTCACTCTCATGGCATTCTTTCTAAAACTGTGCTTTCTTTCTTTTCTGGAGAAGTGCTGAGAAATAGCCATTCTTTTCCAGGGCTGAGCACCAAAATCACAAAAAGCACCATAAAAGTAACAGCTGGTAAAAAGACTGCGCTGTTGTATGACTTCAGCAGACCTTGAATAGAGTGCAATACTGTGTTATGGGCCACTTTTAAGATGCGTTGGTACAGTGCGTGTTGTAAAAAGCTGCGTAAAATGATTTAAATTGAATCAAATTTGGATACTTCTGTGGTGCTTGTTTATGGAACTTGAGCAGCAACTTTTGTTATATGAAAAATAAGTGCCTGAATAAAGCTCAACATTCCTTCTTTAGTGTTTAACAGAAAAAATGAAGTCAAACCGTTTTGGGGAAAAAAATAAATTAATAAAATATTTTGCATATTTTCATAAATATTTTTTGCATTTTGAAATTTACACTTTCACCCTAAATAATAATTACTGCATAACTTTTTTGTTAATACAATCTGCATAAATGAAATGTTGGTTTGGGACAACACAAATGTGTAATAAATAATAAAAATAATATTTTACATTACGCATATTTTATTAAGATTTTTTAAAATTGTTAAATTTAGAAAATTAAGCCAATTTTTACCCCCAAATTCTCATTATTCACATTACAGTGTAAAATTACTTTAATAAAGTAATTTATTTATTCAAATCAGCATAAATTAAATAAAGTTTTGGAACAACATAAATGTGTAATATATAAAAACATTTTATTTTAAGAAATATTAGGGTTCAATAGTTTGCATTGCAAAATCATGACAATTAAGCACATTTTAACCCCAAAGTCTTATTAATTTATTACAGAAAAAAAAATATATATATATATATATAATTTTTTTTTTTTTCTGTTCTGCACATACCAGCATAAATGCAGGTTTGGGGCAACACAAAGGTGTAATAAATAATATTTTGCATAAAGAAAATAAGGAATATTTTTTTATATGTCAGTTAAGCACATTTCCAGTGAAATGAGAGTGAAAAATGACTTGAATGCTGTAATGTTTTCATTAAAATCGGCATGCAACACAACACAAATATGCATAAACGATGACAAAATTGTAATTTTTTTAGCTGGACAGTGACAATAACACCTCCATCTTGTTCCTCCAGGGTTTGGGAAAGAGAAAGAGAAGGAGAAGAATTTGGAAGAGGATGGAACTGCTCTCAACATTCCTCAGTCCGCCTTCTTGGGCCCGACGCTGTGGGACAAGACCCTGTCATACGACGGCGACAACTTCCAGCTGGAGTATATGGATTTAGAGGAGTTTCTGTTGGAGAACAATATTCCCGCCAACCCTGGGAGCGAGCAGAGCCAGCCTTCCCAGCAGCCCCTGCAGCAGCAGCAGCCGCCCTCCGCCCCGCCCACGCCTTCGGTGGTGGATCTCAGTAACCGGACGGCCGCGTCCGTTCACTCCGGCATCGTGAGCCAGAACTGCCTCCAGAGTCCCAGCAGAGCAGGTACCGACCCGAGCCTCGAAACGACACCGAAAGCATCCGATCTGTTTCTGTTCACCTACGCTCTTAAAAACAGTGGGGTTTCCATAGAAGATCCATTTTGGGTTCCAAAAAGAACCTTTGAGTGAACAGTTCTAAAAAAAAGAACTGTTTTTAGAACATATTTAGAATCTACAGAACCCTCTGTGGAATGAAAAGGTTCTTCATGGAACCATCGGTGCAAATAAAGAACCGTTCTTTTTAAGAGTATGCTGAGTTTATCATCTTCTGCGTGTCACCTTGGTTAATCATCAGTGTTGGCTGACCTCTGTAGAGCTTTAAAGATTCGCCAGTGTAATAACCCAAAACTGAAGCGTTTGTGTGTTTGGTTGAAGTCCATGTGGTCAGGTGTTTGCGGATCATGTTGCGCTCGCAGCTTTATCTCTGCCACCTTTCAGATCAATTTAAGCCTGTTTTTATAGAAACTACGGATCCAAGGCACTTCTTCCAGTTCCAAAATGTTCAAAAGCCTTTATTCAAACATTGCTCACTCTAGAAACATTAAAAATGACCAATTGGTCCCCCCTGTAATGAGTATTTTGGTTTCTCCCATTTCTATTGAGCAACTGATTTGACACACTCTGAGGAAGGCTGGATGGCCGAAATGCATCAGTGTGCAGTGTTCTAGTCATTTTTAATGTTTCTAGAGTGAGCCATGTTTTAATAAAGGCTTTTTAACATTTTGGAACTGGAAGAAGTGCCTTGGATCCGTAGTTTCTATAGATATAATTTTGAACCCTACCAAAGAGCACCTTCTGGGACTATTAAACGGAGGTCCTTTCAGCAAGTAGCACTCCAATATGTTTTCTTTAAGCCTGTTTTTCTTTAGAGGCTGCAGAGGAAAACAGGAAGAATGTGCATCTGAATTCATATGGGGGAAGTCGTGGCCTAATGGTTAGAGAGTCGGACTCGTAACCCAAAGGTTGCGGGTTCGAGTCTCGTACCGGCAGGGATTGTAGGTGGGGGGAGTGAATGTACAGCGCTCTCTCCCACCTTCAATACCACGACTGAGGTGCCCTTGAGCAAGGCACCGAACCCCCAACTGCTCCCCGGGCGCCGCAGCATAAATGGCTGCCCACTGCTCCGGGTGTGTGTTCACGGTGTGTGTGTGTTCACTGCTGTGTGTGTGCACTTTGGATGGGATAAATGCAGAGCACTAATTCCGAGTATGGGTCACCATACTTGGCCACATGTCACGTCACAGTCACAGTCACATATGACACTGCAGATTTAGTAAGAAAAACCATAGATGATTTGCACATGGTACAGTTCATACTGATGCATTACACAGTGATAGACGTAAAAAATACCAGTTTTTAAAATCACGAAATAAAAAAAGCTTAGTGATGTTTTTTGCTACACTAGTCCAATATATTTGCTACATTGTTTTGAAGAACTTAGAAAATATATATTGCATTTTACTGTCAATATTTTGTATGTTCTTAATACTACATGCAAATATTTTGAATACAAATAATTGCTATTTTTAAAATGCACAAAAAAAACATTTGAATTAAGTGTCATTTAATATTATATGTACTTAATAATATACATTTTATTTTGTTTACAAAATAAAATGAAATGTAAATTACAAAAAATAAAATTAAATGTAAATATTTTTATTTTAAAATATATAAGTACATATTTTTAATATATGTTTGATAATATATGCATTTATTTTGATCAATATTTTGTGATTATTAGGTATTTATTATTAAAAAAATGTATATTTAAAATATAATTATGTCTTTTTTTTAATGCACAATTAAATGTATAATAATGTACAATGCATAATACTTGAAGATATTATTTAACAGTAGCATTTAATAGTATATGTATTTAGTATTAAATCCATTTTAATATATATTATGATGTATTGTATACATTTATTCTGTATAAATGACATAAATGCATTATATTACATGCATTATAATGCTTATATTGGGACCTGTATTATGATTGTGACACTTTTTCAACAAAAACCATAGACAGTTTGCACATGCACATAACACAGCTCATACTGATTCATTGGTGCATTACACAGTTACAGGTGTTCAATTATTATTATTATTTTTAATCATGAAACAAAAAAAATAGTGATGGTATTTGCTGCACTAGTGCAGTATGTATCACAGCACATGCTTGATGTGCGTTTTGTTACTCCGACTATGAATGCATCTTCCCAAACGTAACTGTTTTATTATGTAGTATACATTTGGCAAATGAAGAGCCATCCAAAAAAATTTTTATTTTTTTTTATACTTGATTTTGTTTTTTCAGAGAACTTAAGAATATTTTGTGCAATATTAGTATTAATTTAATTATATTAATTTAATATTAAATATATTTTAGATTCAAAGTTTATTTTAAAAATACTTTAAATACAATTATATTTAAATACATTAGAATATATTATTAAATAATATATGTATTTAATATTTATTAAAATATATTGACATTAATAATTGAATAAATGAGTTAATAAATATTAATACATGGATTATGTGAAATTAATTATTCTTCCAGCATGGTTTTTAAAAATATTAAATATATTTTAGATTCAAAGTTTATTTTAAAAATACTTTAAATACAATTATATTTAAATACATTAGAATATATTATTAAATAATATATGTATTTAATATTTATTAAAATATATTGACATTAATAATTGAATAAATGAGTTAATAAATATTAATACATGGATTATGTGAAATTAATTATTCTTCCACCATGGTTTTTAAAATAATAGATTAATAAATAATAAATTTAATTAAGTTTTTAAACTTTTTGCCACATTGTTTTCAGAGCACTTAATAAGAATATTTTGTATTTTTTAAATATTAAATGTAAAATTTTTACTCAATTTCAATTTATAATATATTGTATTATGTAATATTATATGTATTTAATATTATATATTTCATATTTTATGACATTAATTACATTTGTTCTGCGATTAATCGTTCTTCAACCATGGTTCATAAAATGAAAATGTAATTAGTTAAACGTAACTGAGGAGCCGTCAGAGTCACATTGATCATACATGCCTTCATGAACCAGTGACTTTCACACATACTTTGACAGCCATTAAACCTGTCATGTCAAATTAGACACATTTCCAACGGCATGCGTTACGCCTTTAATTTGCATAAATGCAGTTAGTGCATTAAATCATGTTATGGTTTATGGCTAATGTAGGCGGAATGCGTGTGACATTCATCCTGATAACACACACCGAACTACAGCAGATAGTTTATGGATGTTAGTAATGCAGGTATTTAAACACGCGTGCATGAGCAATGACAAACAAACACACCCAGCACACTCCTACATACATGCATGGAGATCATGTGTGTAAATCTCACAAAACACGGCCCATGTAATCCCCAAAATCAAAATGAGTAAAAAAGAATAGTATTTTGCATAAAGAAAATCAAGCATATGTTCATGACCATTACGATTTTTTTTTTGTATTGCAACCTTAATAATTAAGCACATTTTCACCCTAAATTCTCAATACTGAATTACAATGAAAACGTACTTTTAAACAGTATTAATAAAGAAATAAATATGCAAGCAAGCGTAAATGAGCATAAATTAAAAGCACAGTAAATGCTACCAAGGTATATAACTAATATACAATTACAATAATTGATTATTATTTATTTATGTATTTTTTTTGCAATATGTAGATTTTATGTTTATTAAATCTACAAATTTATATAATTAATTATCGCTAATTTATATTATATCATTTGTAATAATATAATATAATATAGTAGTGAAATATAACCTGTTTCGACAGGTTTCAGGAGATTAATTTATTCATATATGTAGGAATATATTTCTATAACATTTTATTGACATTTTTGATGTTAAGAGAGAAGTTGACAGTTTAATATATTTAAGTGTAAGGATTTATCAAATCTGGACTTTATAGCCACTTCAAGTGATTAAAAATGAAGTGAAATGAAAAATCTCAAAAGCCATCAAAACCTTTCTAAAAACTTGATACGAATTTCTTCTATTCAAAAAAAAAAAAGTCAATATGTTGTATTTTTATTTAAAATATTCTACATATTTTTATATTTAAAATAAATACGTTTTTAATATATAAAATATTACTTGTTTTATTTAAATAAAAAATTATTAAAATTTACATATATTTATGTATTTAAATGTATTTATTTAATATGACATGCTGAATAAATTCATTCAGAAAAATTAATTGTTCTTCCACCATGAAAAGAAAGTTAAATTTAATGAGATGCATAAATTAAATCATATTTGTAAATGTCATTTCAAACTATTATTTTTAACATCATCCATGTTTTTCATAGCGTTCCATATCATGTGTGTAAATATCAATGACATTTCTTTCTCCTTGTTTTGATTTGCTGAAATATTGAAGCAGGCATGTTTTGACACGATATTCATCCTCTGATGTTTTGGACACGGTGCATCTGAAAGCAGTTGGGAATATTTATCTGCCAGGATTTACAACAACCTGCTGACTTTATAGCCACTTCAAGGGAATACAAGTGTAGAGTGTGTACAGTAACCCTGTGCCTGCTTTCATTAGACGGGTCTCTGTAATTCTCGGTTAATAGGCTTGAAATATATTCGTTTGAAACACAAGCGATGCTGTAAAAGCGTCTGACCGCGGTCTCACCTCACACACGACAGATTCACTTCACTGTGAGTCTTCAGTGCTCGTTTACATGTGTGTGTGTGTGTGTGTGTGTGTGTGTGTGTTTTCTGTCTAGATGGGCGGTTCAGGCTCTGTTCTGCACATTTCGGCTCATGTGAAACCAGCGCGTTCTCAAAGCAGCGTGTGCGGCCATGTGATCAACACATGCGTCCGCGTGTGCCGCGCTGCTGAGAGAGAGAGAGAGAGAGAGAATGACACGCCCCTCCCATTCCTTTCCAGCGTTCTGATTAGGCCCCGCCCCTCCCACCTG